AGTATATATATATATATATATAAACAGTTTAAAGCTTTTTATAATTTTTATTATATATCCATCTTAGAGCTAGCAGACAAACTTTACTGGGCTCCTAGAATATTATAAACATTCATTGATTAATTATGTATAAATGTTGTATTAATTTTAATATGTAAGTTACTGTGTTTTTGAATTAAAAGGTTATGTATATTTGTGGATATAGTTTTGGTTTGAGGTTTAGAGGTATGCATTTTTAAATATTCATCTGCATGTGGCAGACTTTGGCATTTAAGAATTTTCAGGAATTTGTGTGGCTCTGTTCTCAATTTTTGAGATCGCTTGCCTAGTTGGGCTAGTTATCACAGAACCTACTCTTCCTGACCAATTAATTATTTGCCAGATCTTATTTAGACAAATGAAAAGGAAACAAATAATTGCAATGCTATCTGCTACATGAATTAATACCTTATAGCAGTGGAATAAACAAAACTAAAATAAGATCACAGGTCTATAAACAAAATTGTATCTAAATCAACATAATATCCCTACAGCTGAAAGACAAACATATTTTTTTGGTATCAGCTATTGAATCTATGACTTTTAATTGCAATGTGACCTTCATAATTGTGCAGTGACAAATAAACATGTAATAGGGATAAAGAAATGTTGAATTAGAAATTTGCTGACACAAAATAATAAAATTTTGGTTTAAATCATACTGGAATATTGTTGTGTAAATAATAATGACTAATTATGTTCAACAATCTTATTCTCCTTCATCTCTTAACAAGTGAAGTACCATATGCTATTATTAAGTTTATTGTCCCTTTGTACATTGAAGATGAACCTAAAATATCCACGATTGATATCACACTCATGTTGTTTGTACGTAAAATAAAACATATTTGTTCCTACTGCTTACATGTACAGTAACACATTTTAGTAAAATAAATATATCGAAGTAAGTTTTAATATCTTCAAGTTAGTACAGGTTTAAAACGTGTTAAATTGTACTGCGTTTGTATTACTCTGAATTCCAGTTTTTGTCTTTATTTGTAATTATCTTTTGTATGTCACTTATCACATCTTGTAGTGTTACTCTTATTTTACTACTTTAAATTTCATCTGTTGCAATATTTATTTTTGAATACTAATTTTTCTTCATGTTATGTCATGTAAACTCACTCTGTCTGGACTCCAAACAATGTATGTTATGCATCATGTTTTCCAATGTCGACTCTTTTAATCTTTTCTTAAAAATCCTTTCAACCTCTGCATTAGTGGTGGAATTAATTGAATGTATTGTATAGACTAGAGCCTGAGCAGTTAATTGGTGTAATTGATTATCTGTAATTATCAATTACAGTGATTGATGTCATATAAAATAATCAGTTGGTCAAAATTACAATGAAATTGATTAATTTCATGAAAATAGTCAACTAACTAAAATTAATGTGTCTAATTATTACTATTTTTGATTATTCAAACTAACCAGGTAACTGAAATATCACCATTATGATTTCTCATTATTTAATTAAAGGTTATTCAACTTAATCTATTCATGTCACAAATTACAAAAATAATCAAAATTAGCAATTTTCCAATTATTATTATTATTAATTATTTCAACTATCCCTGTCTCATATGAGCGTAATCACTTAGTTTAATTCATTAGTTAATTATCCAGATGATTACTCAATTCCACTGATCATCCAACTCTAGTTTAGACCAGACTTGTAATTTTTTTTAGCAGCAACTTCGTGATTTGTTAAGACTAAGTCAAATAATAAACATCTCGTAAACTACATAAGTAAATTCACATTATATTTTACTTAACTTGATTATTCTTCAGAAACAGTTTTTTTACATGTGTAAAAAAACTGCTTTTTAATGTTTACAAAAGTGGTTTTATGGTTAGAAGTCTGAGTTTAAACAAAACTTTTAAATCTTATTGTCACCTCATTTCATTTCTAAGTGGCTATCTGGCCTATCTAGCCTATTTCATTTTCTGCTTCCATCCTTCTACATATTTTAAACACCTAACAATTTGAAAAATCTCATTTATGTCCCCTTTCCAGCAAAAATGTGTAAAGAGATTTCAAGTTGTTTTAGAGGGTTTTATTTCTGAATCCTCTCCAACAACTCGACATCCTTTCTGAAATAAGGGGAACAAAACTGAACACAACATTTGAAACATCTTCTTATAGAGTAATCTGATGACCTCCTTAAACTTTTGGGCTGGCTTAATATGCTAGACTGTAGATATATTTAAATTTCCAACAAATATTGAGTTACTAAAATGGAAGACCACACTGAAATATTTCTGCAAATACTTTTAGGTTTCTGATGTTTGAAATCCAACAGATAAACGTGTATCAATAAGTAGGCTCTCATTTGCCAAGACAGTTGTGATGGTTGACATTGAAAGTTTTTGTTGGCTTTCCATAATTCTACATCACACATGAATGATTACATGATTGGTTCATTTTTAAAGAAGTGTATGTATTTTGTCTGTCTAAAATGCATACCTGGCATAAAATTGAAATTGGATCACAGATTTTCTAGGGACAATGTGGTATAATCCCAAATTGTCCCCCAGTGAGTAAACTACTATTATAGCTCTAAATATCAGTGATCTTTGAAAACCCATATAATTTATATTTAACACATTCTCAATAAATGTGTGAAACACAGTATATTGAAAAGGATTAATGCAAGAATTTTTCATGTATGTCATAATTACAAGATAAAACATCAATAAACACTTAGTACAGTTAACACTACATTTGAATGTTTCTTTATTATCATATGGCATTTTCCTTCTAAACTTCTCTGTTTTGTAGTTTTTTACCAGTAGTAACTTGGTACTATTTTCACTGCTTGACAGTCTTTCATTAACAAAGAGTTAATTTAAGATGACTCAAACAAGCAGTTTGATGATGAGGTAGAAAACTGCCACTTTGCTATTACTAATTTCAAACATTGCAGCTTTTTAATTCCATTGAAACTGATGTCTCATGTAGAACATTTCTAATTCCATTAAAACTGATGTCTCATGTAGAACATTTCTAATTCCATTGAAACTGATGTCTCATGTAGAACATTACCAATTCCAATGAAACTGATGTCTCATGTAGAACATTACTAATAACATCGAAACTGATGTCTCATGTAGAGCATTTCTAATTCCATTGAAACTGATGTCTCATGTAGAACATTACTAATAACATTGAAACTGATGTCTCATGTAGAACATTACTAATTCCAATGAAACTGATGTCTCATGTAGAACATTTCTAATTCCAATGAAACCGATGTCACATGTAGAACATTTCTAATTACATTGAAACTGATGTCTCATGTAGAACATTTCTAATTCCAATGAAACTGATGTCTCATGTAGAACATTTCTAATTACATTGAAACTGATGTCTCATGTAGAACATTTCAAACTTGCTATTTTGTAAAAAAATTCTTAGACAGGTTGTTGTTGGACTCACAACTGATTCATTAGAATGATCTGTTATATGTTTGTTGCAAAAAATACTATTTGTTTTCTTTCCTTGCATATTCTTGCACAACTGTTCGTCCAGTGCAGTTGCTTTCCGCTTGATTGGATATTGATGTGCCTTCACTGGCTCATCCACCTTCGCAATGTGGGATTCTAGCTTTGGGTGAGAAGACCGTTTCAGAAGTTAACATTTTCTTATGCTGAAAATGTATTTCTGATAGGTGGTACTTACTATCCTTCCTCCTCACTGATATTTTGATGTTTCTGGTTTCTACCTGACAATTCGCCAAAGTGAGGATTTTTTTTTTAGAATAGTAGAGGGAGCTAGCTGCATAGTATAGATGGTACAGTATGATTGGTGGAGGGTAGTCACATGTTCTGCTATGTTACAAAACTGATGGGGTATATAGACTGGTGTGCTGTAGTGAAACCTGTTTTAGCAATGCTAAGAGGTCAGACCAGAATTGAGATGGCTTTGGGTGAGAGGAGATGAGTACCTATCAGAAATACATTCTCAGTGTAAGAAAATGTTAACTTTTATCTATCTCTGTACACAATGGCATGCTTTTATCTACCACTTTACAAAATGTAGTAGATTTTTCTATAGCACTTTACACACCATAACTTGTGTCCAACTAACACTGTTAGGCTTAAAAATTAATTTATTTAGTATGATGAGGTTCTTTCTCTCATTATAAGCCATGCTTAGTAATGTGCATTTTCATGGCTCGTTATTTTGTGGAAGCCTTTACATACGTTGAAATGCCTCTTTATGAAACACAGTCTGAGTTTTGTATATTTTAAATTGTTTTTCTGTTATTTTTATATTCAGGTGTTCATAATGAGTGAAAATGAAATAGCATATGTAGGTGATATGGAAGAAAAAGGAATTGAGAGACGTGGACGGATTAAGGCTTTGAAAAGGAAATTTAACCAGGCCGAGAAAACTGATGAAACATCTTTGAAGAATGACACTGAGAATAGCGTTGATTCCGTAGAACTAACAGAAATTCCTCTACCTAAGTGAGTATTTACTTTATTGGTTTTATTGGCACCATTTAGTTAAATACATAAAATTTTAATGGTTTTTAAAAGGTACAATGTGTTATAGTCCCTCAGTGCAACAGCAGTAAATTTTTGGACTTAATATGCTATTATTCAGGGTTTGATTCTTCACAGTGGACACAACAGATAGCCAAAGTTGCTTTGCTCCAAAACAAACGTATTTAAACTATGATAATGTTTTATGTAAATGCTATGAGAAACTTCAAAATTTGGTCATACATGCATGTTAAGTAGAATATAAACCTTTGGCTCTCTATTTCTGAAATTTTTGTCTAATATATAATTTTTCTTCTCACTGTAGACCAGTATTTCGGAGCTACAGACCTCAACATGATTCCTTAAACTCTTTTGTGCTCGAGAATGCCAAGCCTGAATCAGGTATTGCATCAAGTAGTTATTATGGTAGTACATCAGGTCAAAATGAGTCTGTTATTAAAGTAATATACAGGCATTTGATGTATCAGAAAGGAACTTGTTACATTTAGAGAATAATTGTCCATCAAGTAACTAATAAAATGAGTAGTCCAACACTTAGTGTCATATAAAAAGGGTACAACACATGATGGTTCTTGGACTTCAAAACCCTAACTGTTTGCCAACCAGAAATAAAGACAAGACTAATTTAGAAAGGATGCAATAACAACAACAAAAAACAGTACTGTAAATATTCCTTTTAATTGTATATTATTGTTTGCTTAAACAATTCTAATTCTTGTAGCCAGTGTTTTTTTCTGCTTTTATATATTTACTATAAAACAATAAGCCTGAATGAAATAATTCATCCTAAGAAATTTTATATATATATATAAATTTTTGAATGCTTTAGTGAGATTTTTTGTGATTTTACCTGACACTTGAATGTGTGTGCAGTACATTTCAAAAAGTTTAATTAATTCTCCTTTCAGTTAAAAAATATGAAAAGAATTAATCTGAAACAAATTATGTCTCTGTATCCTTACTTCTATTTTTCCCTCTTTAATCAAGGAATTGTTTTAAATGGTTTATATAATTTCAACTAAGATTTTGGATGTAGTAACCCATCAGTCCTGTGAACGTAAGACCCACTTGTCAACATATATTGGCTCTCCAGATCTTATGACATGGATCACAGCTGTGTTCTCTCATAGCTTCAAGTGTACATAAGTAAATATTTTTTTCCTAAAAGTTTAAGCTTTTAAAATTACAGCTATTGATAAAGACTTTTTTATACAGTGGATGAACAAATCCAAGACCACCTTGCTGCAGGAAAACCAGAACCACTTATCCAAGAAGTAGTAAGTAAAGCTGAATCATGATAAATATACATGTAGCGTAAATAATAGTGTTATAATGAATGGTAGTTTTTGACCTTCAAAAGTTCAAAAACACATTATTGAGCCAAAGTGTAAACCTTTCATAGTACTACTTTGAATAATTTACTAATGATGTCATCATAACTAATAGTGTGTATTAGATTCATAACCCTTTCATTTTAGAGCTAATCCATACAAGAAAAATATGGTAAAACTGTAATCATGTTTTATATTGCATAAAAATTTAAAAAATGCACATTGTTCATGAGTACATATTTGATGCTATGTGTGATATTCATATAGCTACATATAGTAAGCTTGTACCGCAAGAATAGCCTATTGCAGCCAATTAATACAGCTGACTCAAGCAAAACAATCTTTATTTAACAGCCATCATTCCAATCAGGTTGACAGTAAGTTTTTTAACATAAAATTGTTGATTAATTAAATATGACTTATAAACAAAATAATAAATATGGACCTCAAAAAGTTACAAAAAATGTTTTTTTTCTCGTCTTGTACATCGTATTGATGCAATGCAACTACTAACCCCCCCCCCACACACACACACATTTTCCACCATAAGAAGCTGCTAAATATAATATTTTGGTGGTTGTGCACCATGATAAAAATTGTTTTAACTAATGGCCATTATACAAACCAAAAGATTGAATTTTTCATGTGAGTGACAATTAAAGTGTTATTACTATTCAAACATTGCCAAAGTTTCTGTTAACAAGAGAGAGAAAAAAATTCAACATTGCTTGAATGTTGTCTGATGAATCTGAATATTTATAACTATATTCAAATTATTGGCTTTTGAAGACAGCCTTAGTAGGTATGTTACAAAAATTGCTCCTCAAACATGGACAGTATTAGAATTTCATAGCTGAATGTTACAGAAATTTCAAATATTAAATGTTTGGTTTTTTTATTGTGAAAGGCCCTATAAATTTACATTGATTCTGTGATAAATTTGTAAAATTCCAGCCTTAGAACCATTTACTGTGTTTTTTCATATTAGATATATTACCTTCTGTAATTATTAGATCATATTTTTTTACATTATAAAAATGCCAGAGACCATATTTTTCAATTAATACATAAAAAGAAATACAGACTAAATTGAGCACTGAGCCTTGTAATTGGCAGGTACAGATTTTCATGAAGTCTTTATTCTTTGCAAGGATGAATAAAAAAATGCTGAAACTCTTGTTGCCTCTATTTTTTTTAACACTCAGAATTTTTGTTTAGAATTACTCATAAGAAAATGTATTTTATGTAGTTATCATTTACTTGTGAATACAAAATGAGTGGAGGATAAGCACATAGAAGTGTGATTCATAAAGATGCAGTGTGCTAAAATTCATGATTGAAATGATACTTTTAAAATTAAAACTGTTTTTATATATTACAAGTAATCTTCTTGTAGCAGAGGGATATTTTTGTGTTGACTCTGAATTCACATATATTGATGGTGTTTATTTAGCCTTGAATCTATTGTTCCATGATGTATGCGTTAATTCTGCAATTCCTTTTTTTTGTCAGGATCTAGCAACATTAGCGCCAAGAAAACCAGATTGGGATTTGAAACGAGATGTTGCCAAAAAGTTAGAAAAATTGGAGAGAAAGACTCAACGAGCTATTGCTGAACTAATACGTAAGTATCATGATTAAGGTTTGTGGTTTAATTAACTTGTAAATGGTTGTTTTTGGGTTTTTTTTCAGATCATTACTGAAGATAACTGGGAACCTATAGGAAAATTACTTGTATTAGAGCATTTATACAAAAACAAATTGAGGAAAGGCTGAAAATGAATTATCCTTTTACTGAACATTAATTTAAGACTACTAAAAAAAAGCCAGAAAATTATCTTGTATTCCAAAACGAAGGTTGATTACACACACTATATGACATAGCATTTTTGCTAAACCATAACAAGATTGAAGTTGATTAGAAGATATTATATTTTCAGGTAGATTATACTACCATTACTTCAAGTCATTGTTAAAGAAACGAATCAAAGCTAAAAATATTGGCAAATAATAAATTGATCCTTTATTCAACCAAATTAACCCTTTCAAGAGGGGTCACAGGTGAAAGGCCATGTCATCTCATTTGTTGACTTGCATTCAAAATTTTATTGAACTACTGTTTCATGAATTTATGTCAATAAGTTTGGTATCAAACTGTAGATTATAATGCAAATTTTAGTACTATATATTAGTCAATTTCTTAATTTAAAAGGAAATATTAAAAAACAGTTAAACATCGATTTTTGTGTGTTACGTGGTATGTTGAATGCAGCACTGGTTAAAATTATTTGTTTGTGAATTCAAAATACTAAGTCTATAGTTTTGAACGAATTAGAAACTCAAATTACAGAAATTGACAAGCTAGAATATAAAATGAGAGCCTCTTATCTTTTCAGTTTGTTAAGATATTGCTCATGCAATAAATCAAACACCCACCTCTTTCCATTTTTGGAAACACTCCTTTATATACACTTACTTCTAAGACATGAATAACCAATCAGAAGCTCAGAATTTCCCACTAGTGGCTTTCTCAGCCATTTTAACAGACTTGGCACCATATCTTTTTTTTTGAACCAATATTTCATATTTTTTTAGACTAAAATACATATTAGTTACTAAGCTAGATAAATTATAGTGGAATTCTATGGTATAAGTTATTCAAATATATATATATAAAACCTAAAAAATATGCTATTTTTTAAAGGGTTAGCAACCTAAGTCAAGCAGCAACTTAGTACAAAGGTTGTATCTAGAAGAGATAATTGTTTGCTTTACTTCTTTAGTTACTATTCTATGTTTTAAGAAAAATAAGTTTAAGAAGTTATTTCAAACTAACAATAATCTATTAGGTCGTCAAGAAATTAATGTCACGTTTTGGAACACTTTCATTAATCCCCCCCCCACAAAACGTACATCACGTATAATAGTTAAACAAATCTCCTAAGCATTACGTTACTGTAGCCTATATAATGTCAAAAGTTTGGTATACTCTAATCCCTTATAGTGATGGCACACAACAAGACACACATTCGGCATGTAATGCTGTTT